ATGAGACAGACGCTTGCTTACCTTTTCCAGTCCTTACACGCGTTCTAGCGTTGGCGATTGCAGCCAAACAATTCAGGCGAAGCAACTTCCAGCCCGATCAAAACCCCTCACCGCCCTCAACAGGTGTGGGAAGTGACGACGCGAGCTCACGGCGCCGCAACTAATCAAGTGACGCATCCCAGGTAGCAAATGCTTCCCTCTTTTTATAGCCCGTATGCCGTATTGTGATAGGGCAGAGAAAAGGACCCGTAAATTAATGACACTTGGCAACTAATTACCTCTCCTGCCACAATCGTCATCATTATATTTATATAAATATATTGTTTATATATAGTTTACACAATAGGCAGTAGTGTATACTATTTTACAAGCATAGCGATCGAGATGGGCAAATAGGGAATGTTGTTTCCGATCACCTCATAGATGAGAATAGCAGATACTCATTTGCTGGCTTTGCTGGAACATCTTTCAGAGATAACAAAAAAAGATACATGAGTTTATGTAACTTTTTTTTTTAAGGGCACCTGTTATGCCCTTTTTTACAAGACGTAAAATAAGTCTCTGATGTCCCTAGAGTGTGTATGAAATTTCAGCTCAAATTCTATGCAAATAATGTTTTCTAACTCTCTAAAAGGGACCCTTTTAGGCTTTGATCATAATTGTGGTGTTTTGGTGACTGTCGCTTTAAATGTAAATGAGATTGTGCTCTTTTCAAAAGAGGGCGGAGCTACAAATGCCTGCATGTCAGCATAGTGGCAGATTAAAAAACAAGACTAACGTCCTATGCTAATGAGGGCAAGATGGTCTTTAGTGGGCGGGGCTTTCCCCCTCTGATGACGCGTACAAAGGCTGACTGATTCTCCAGGCTTTTTTTCCTCAAGTGTGATTCATAAATAATAAAATTATTATTTTTATCATTAGAGACTAACTATATTCACACACTGCTGCCATACAACTGTGTTAAACCCCTTATAAAATAAATTTTTGCATAATAGGTCCTCTTTAAATTATAATCTCCAATCACCAACAGCCAAATGGATATTATGCATGAATAACATATAAAATGTTTAATGCGTGACATATTTATATTCATAGAGACTCCTGAAACCACGTAACCACAGTTTGTTTGTTTTTTTTTTACCAAAAGTACATGGCGATGAAGTAGAAAACTAATTGGCTTGGCATTACTGTTTAATGTTATACAATATATTAATTATTAAAATGCTGCAAATCTGCGTCACGCATCATATATGTAATTATACAACAGTTCTGTCTGGTTTTTAAATCTGATTGGCTGAAAGCTGTGTGATATTCTACAATTTCAAAACTCCTACAGCCTCTTCACTCTTGTGTGTTTCTCCGCCCACATAGTGTGACGGCAAATCAATAAACTCACTACAGTTTGACAAATAATGCAGCTGTTGGACAACATCATGTACTTTTGAGGCTTTTATTTAGGTGAGAATGTAGTGGCTTAGATTACAACTGTGCAGTTTATTTATATAGATAGTGCCTATTTTAAATATTTATAATTTCGGAGGTTCAGTGAGTTGGCGGCCATCAACCTGTCATACTGAGCAGTGCAAAAATGGTTGACGGTCTGCCTCAAGATGGCGCCAGAGACTGCATAATAAGTTCTTAGGGGAGAAAAACTCTGCTTAAATTTCAAACTACAGCTGATCAAATCATTCTAAAACATGTAAGAAACATTCTAAGTTGATCTCTCTCTCTTGTATGCTGTAGTGCTGTATTTATACCACTGTAATCTGCTAATGTTTGCTTTGCTTTGGCTTTTTCGGGGTTAATAATTGTGATCTCTTGATTGCAACAGAGAAATACTGGAAAATCTCTGTAGACTGATGGCATTTCATGCTGTTCAGCCTTGTAATCTTAAAATGTGAGCAAAATCAGCTGTTTTGTCTTCACTTTAGACATTACGCTAGAGAATCATTCAAACGCTAGCTCTAAAGTGACGTTTGTGAAGTAGCAGCGGTTTCTCCTGTTCTGATGTCAGCTGCAAATGAATGGTGGAAGAAAGTAGTTCCTCTTACAAAAGGGTTTTTAGACTCTCCGTGTTTGATTTTGTTATTTTATATACACGATTATGCCGTAGAACTGTTGTATAAACACAATATCACACTCTAGCAGTGCGCTATGGCTGTATATCATCACTGGTAGGACACTAAGGCACTCAGTCAGGGGCCTAAACACACCAGTGCCGATATACAGCCACATGATATAATGCTAATGTACCCGGAGGTCAGTGATTAGAATTTTAAAATTAGGATTATTACAGGTCTGCTTCATAAGACATGCATTAACCCCCGGGCTGCGTATGGGTTCGTTTGACGACATATTTACTTGTTTTTGTAAGTTTACAGCATGGATGTAATGTAAAACTACTCCAACTGTGTTAGTCCAACAGAAAAAAAGTAATATAAACCGAGGACGGCTTGAGGGCGAGTAAACTACAGGGTAATTTTCATTTTTTTGATGAACTATTACTTTAAGAAAGGTACATTGTCTGAAGTTATTATTTGCAATATCCAGGATGGTTGTGGAGAACATACAATTGTGATAACTTAGGATAATAAGACGTTTTTAGGGGGGAAATTGCTTGTAACTTAAATGCAGGTTATTTTCTGTACATACAGTGAAGTGCTTTGTTTTGCACTGCAGAGCAATTGGGGGAAATTATAATCCAGGTTGTCAAATTACCTACCCTTACAGTCTGTTCAGAGTGTTCTTGTCATTTTCTGAACGAATGCATGGATAAGTGAGGTTTGAGAAGTACAGCATTTTATTTTTAGAAGACGTAAAACCCTTTTAAGCATAACCTGTTATGTAAAAGGCATAAAATGGTAAGAAGTGTCTTGGAGAAGGAGCGGAGAGAATGGCAGCTGTCATGTTGTTGTAGAAAGGTCAGGTTCCTGCTTTTGGCTGTTGTCAGTTCTGATGTGTGTGTTGTTGAGCACATGCTTGCTTGTCCTGTGAATGCTTGTCCAAAGATGCCCGAACGGAGAGCTGTCAATGCCGAATTCACCCTCTGTATCTGAAACGGGAGCCCAGGGGGTCATTTCTAGAATTAAAGCACAGTGAATGATTATTGATCTAATTAATGTAGAATAAGGGTGGAAAAACTCTGTCCTGGAGGGCCACTGTCCTGAAGAGCTTTAAGTGGCCTCAATACACCTGATTTCCCATCTTATTTCATGTAGAATCTTTAACATCCACTGATACTCACTAAAGATTCTTTCGGTTACTGAAATGTACTTAAGATTAAAAAAAATAATTTTAAAAAGCTTTTCCTTAAAATATATTTTTGTCTTTTCTTTTTTCAGACTACTTTCTCATCATCTGAAACCAGATATTTTCTTAGTAAGGGGAAGATAAAAATGTTTATATTGCTTACTATTGGAAAACTAATGACATACACTCAAAAAAAGAGTTTTGCTATTTGTTTAAACTACTTATTTAATATGAGCTGAAACAACACAATTCTTAAACTCTAGTAAGTTAATTCAAAGGTGCTGATGTAAGTGTTTGACTCTTCTAAAGCATAAAAACACCATAATATGTTTGCCGATATTTCAGAAACATGCTCGGGTAACATTCTTGTTCATCTGAAAAACAATGCTGAAGTCAGATATTCTGCTTTGAAAATGTGTGTCACGTGCCGGAACGGCTGTCTTTCATTTGGTACCTATCAGATTTAATTCACAAAATTTAGGACTTGAGACTTGCTTGACAAATATCCAAAAAAGACTCGACTTGACTGTCGTGACTTGAGACTTGACTTGGACTTGAGTTAAATGACTTGAAAACTTGTTTGAAAATGACTCTAATACTTGTTGTGAGCTTCCTATCCCTAATATGTGAAAGTTTAGGGCAGGGGTTTCCAAACTTTTTGGGCCGAGGGCCAGATACAAAAAAAAAAAAAAAAAAAACGTTGTCCCGGGCCAAATTATATATATATATATATATGATATGATATGATATGATATTTGCACACATTTCTAAACATAATAGTTTTAATAACTCATCTCTAATAACTGATTTATTTTATCTTTGTCATGATGACAGTACATAATATTTGACTAGATATTTTTCAAGACACTTATATACAGCTTAAAGTGACATTTAAAGGCTTAACTAGGTTAATAAGGTTAACTAGTCAAGTTAAGGTAATTAGGCAAGTTATTTTATAACAATTGTTTGTTCTGAAGACTTAAGGGCCTAATAGGTTGGCCTTAAAATGGTTCATAAAAAATTAAAAACTTCTTTCATTCTAGCCGAAATAAAACAAATAAGTCTTTCTCCAGAAGAAAAAATATTATCAGACATACTGTGAAAATTTAGATAGATAGATAGATAGATAGATAGATAGATAGATAGATAGATAGATAGATAGATAGATAGATAGATAGATAGATAGATAGATAGATAGATAGATAGATAGATAGATAGATAGATAGATAGATAGATAGATCGATCATATTCCTTTAATGTTATCCAAATCAATTGCGTTGAACACAGCATTTTATTACAATGTAGCACATAGCAGCTTTTAAGCAGCGTTAGAATTAGAGTTTAGCTAAAACTTGCCTGGACGTTTCTAGTATACCTAGATAGATCTTGATTAGCTTGTTCTGATGTGTTTAATTGGGGTTAAAGCTAGATTGCAGGAGACTGGCCTTCAAGGACCGAGTTTGTTCACCCCTGGTCTATATGAACCAAATTAAACATAACAGGTTGGTACCCCCATCCCCCACCCAAAAAGAACCTTAAATAATACAATATTGTGCAAAAATGATTTAATTTCCCTTCAACAAACTGCCAGTGCTTAAATTAAACAGTAACACAAGTCAGTTCATATTGTTCTGATGGTTGAGTCTCACCTCTACCCCATGTGCGCCGGCTAGTGGCTCCCACCACTCCGGCAGCCCGTTACCCCACAGCTCTCAGATCACATCCCGTGCTGAATGCCCGGAAGCCCAGAGCGCCCCCTACAGTAGCCAGGATCCCGGGCCCAGCATTGACCTGCACACACACAGCCAACATAAGAGGACAGATGACAAACCCATCCCGGACGAGCCCCCCATTCAGTCAGAGTATGGGTGAGTGTGTGTGGAATAAGATGCATCAGCTTGTGTGATTGGTTGATTCGGGAGTTGATTGTTTAGGCCTCTAAAACTAGCATTAAAGAGATAGTTCACTTATTAAAGTTCCAACCAGGCTCATTCTGAAAACAATTTTCTGGAGAACGCGAATTACGTAGCCAGAGGTACGTATGGCTGCATTTCATTTTTTAAGTGAACTCTATGGGCCGGTATGACGCCGTTCCTTTAGACGCTCACCGGCTGACCTCTTACCTCCATGTATAGGGCTCTCCCGCCACAACCAGTTTGTTCATTTAGCTCGTCGCGTATGTCGGCGGACTTGAGACGCAGAGAAGGAGTTAACCACGACGATGACGAGCGGGTTCGAGTCTGGGGAAGAGCGGTTCCAGAAATTAGCCAAGACAAAAACAGAATCCAAAAAATAAAACGAACAAGTGAATAACAGGGTGAGGATGTGGTAAAATCCTAAAACGTGGTAAAAAATCAGACGAGGACTTTTCTTTTTTCTGGACAGCTTTTCTATACCGTCAGTTAGGTTTAGGGAAAGTGAGTGGGAGGGCGGGTTAATCGGTAAAATGGTTGGGTTCTTTCACGGTTGCAGGTTTGTGCATCTTCCGGAGTGTCTGTTTTGACACGCGGATTTGTTTTGTTTAAGTCGTCCACGTGTATTTGTTATAGTCACGTGTTATGACGGTACTCAGCTGTTTCGATAAGCTCGCCAGCTTAAGTTCATTACCGTGTCTATATCTGGGCAACGCTTCTATGTTTCCTTGTCAGTTCGTTATGTTTGCTCATGTGTGTCTGTCTGTGCTCAGGACTGTGAGGAGTGGCTGCTGGACCCGATTCGTCTGTCGGTGTGCTACAGCGCTATATTCCTCGTGACCTTGCACATTTCCCTGTCCTGTTAAGTTTATTCTGACTGTGTCAAAAAAACTTTTACTTGCATTTTGGATCCTTCTCAGTGTCTTTATTATCACGTGACAAAACAGACACTCCGGATGACGCACAAACCTGCAAGGTTCAGGGAGGGAGGGGGAGGGGCCATCGATTGGCCGGTCACCCAGCGACAGCGGCCTCTGGTGGGTTTACGCAAGAACAGCGTGGGCACGAACGGCACTCACGAGAGACATTTGAGATGCGAAAAAAGCACACACAGCTGCCTCTCGCAGATTCGCGAAATATAAAAACTGCAAAAATGTATACCTGCCGGGACGTATTTCGCGGTCTCCAGAAACGTCCATGGGACTACGTTTTCAGAATGAGCCTGTGTCAGTCATCATTTACTCATCAATTATGGGTTTCTTTGATCTGTTGTACGAACAAATTGATTCTTACTATTTACTCCACCTTCAAGGGGTTCCATACCTTTATGAACTTTTGTCTTCTGTTGAATACTAGAAAAGGTGTTTTGAACAATCCTGAAAACTTGTAACCATTGATTCCTATTGTATTTTTTTCTCCTACTGTTGAAGTTACAGGTTTCCAGCTTTCTTCAGAGTATCTTTAGTGTTCAACAGAGAAAAGAAATTCATGAACTCAAATGGGAGTGAGTAAATAGTCAAATTTTTGGTTGAACTATCCCTTTAAAACACTCGATATTACAGTTATTTGTTGTTTAATTGAATTAAAACTATTGGCCATTACTACATACTCAGAGACCTCAGAATCTCCCGAGCGTGTAAAGCACTCAGATGTAAGTTCTGTTTTAAAAGAGTCGTATTGTAATATCCTAATGCGAACAATTAGGTTGTGCCTGAGATTTGATTAAATTTAATCTCGCCCTCCAAGCCTGTGACTCATTAAGCGTCTGGTTTAAAAGGCCAGGAGAGACCAATCTATTCCAAGGCTGAATTTAGCCACCGGCGAAGGTCTCTCACTTCTTTTTATCCAATTAATCTCTCCTGCGGCACAATCGTAGAGCAATTGCAGTTTTCAAGGACGAGAAAAAACTAAGTGCAGTGGGTTAGAGATCAAAGTGAATCTTTCCTCTATCGATCTGAGCATCGTGGAGGCCTGAAATGACTCTTGGGTAGATTAACAGGGCTTGATGGAAGTGAGCAATTCCAGCGTTATGGATGTGACATTTGCAGTAAAAAAAACACAATATACATTAACAGAGAAATTATATGTTAACATTATATTGTGTATATTTTCCAACAAAAACTAACCACAGGAAATGAACATCCATTATGGATGTGACCAAAAAAGTTAGTGAGTTTACAGTCTTAGTAGAAATTCAGTTAAATAAACTGCCCTACGTATAAGAAATAATGCTTATAACCTCCTTTATTCTGCTATAACCTTTTATAACCGCTTTTTTCCTCTATAACCGTTTATAAAAAAAATTCTGCTATAACAGCTTATTTTTCCTTTTTACCCT